CTATTTCCTTCCTTTACAAATGTCATCCTTGTGTTCCTCCTTGTAAAAACATCCATGGAGGAATTCAAAATATTCAAACTGGAAATCAGCTCTAGAAATGAAGAAATAAAATCTGGAAGTACTTAGTTGAAAAATTAATAAGTGAATCTCTATTAAGCTGTTTTGGTATGTACATTTATTGTGGTGGAGTATAATAATTTATGATGTTTTATATATCTAAAATGATTTTTTAACTCTCTTTAGCATCTAAAGACACTTAAATAATCAAACTATATTATAAATTTATAAACTATTTGAATCAATTTTTTATATATATCAGGTAAATTCTTTGAAAACATTAATACATTAAAAATTATTAATAGACAACCAATTAGCTACTGTACATATGTTGTATATAAACAACTCTACAAACCTGATTGACAAGATGGCAATTTAACCATCTATCTCTAGACATATTTACTTCATATCTCATTGTTAACTTAACCTTATTATAGTCCAATAATTTGGCAGATCACCTGTGCATATGCTTTCTTAATTATAGGTTTGCTGTATTCTTAGGCATTTTAACTAAATAATCATATATTTATATAACATAAACATTGTATATGCCCTTGTACTCGAATCTCTATCTATGACTGTTTCTTTATGAACACATACATATTATATAGCACTGAAGAGGGGTTGAGAGTTCATATTAACCCAGAATGGATATGTAGAAGAAAGAATTGAATAAATTGTATGTTTTTAACCTTCAGATATTTTACTTGCTGAACGGAATACTATACCTATAAATATAGCATTATTTAGTTAAAATGCACATGCATTTTAACTAAATAACATATGACGTTTGTCATAGATATGCTACATTTTAAATGTTAGTTTTTGTTTTAATCAGATTGTATTCTTTTTACAAAATATACAAATAATTATGGATTTGCCACTATCACTTATTGCCAAAATTACTGTAAAAAAATCTGTTGAAACAGACCAAAGTAAAATAATACATAAACAATTGCTGAATATGTTTTAATATGTAAATTTCTAAGTTTTCTACTTACATTAGCTAAATATTTTTATGTATCAAATTTATTGTGTAACATAAAAATGAACATCTATATATCTTATACAGATTTAAAAATTATCAAATAATTTTTCTTTCAAGTGTATTTTAAATTAAACATGTTATCTATACTTTTGATAAAGGAATAATTTCACACTATATTAAATGAATACAGTTTGGTAAGTAATTTTTTATTAATATAACCTAGTAATTTAACAGTATAATATTGTAAATTATTGGGTAAATTTTGCCTAACTCTAATTAAATTTCCAAAATTGTTGCTTGAAAATGTTTTTGTGGTAAAAGAAGTTTAAAATATTTGAATATAATTGTGTAGTTTTTAATTTCATGAACCAAATGCAAATTAAAATTTCTTCTATTACCTAAATTGTATTTAAATTATTTATCATTTTTCTGCTTTGATGTTTAGCTAGATGATGCATTATACATTGCACTAAGTATATACAGTATCGATTAGTGTATTTTGATTGCATTTTTAAAATAAAATAATAATTCATAAGTAACTTGTTATCTCTAAAGCAGTTTGTGTGGATTTGTTTCTCTTTAAAATAGAACTCTCCATATTATGATTATAAAACAACTCATACTAAATATCTAAATATATTAAGATGATTTAATAATGTTTAATAAGTTTTTAATATTCCATAATTATTATGACAAAAAGAATTATAAGCTATTTATATATATTTATAAATAAATTTTAATGTTACCATTACTTATTAGGAATGACTTTCTTTTATAACAAAGTACTTTAAATCAAGAATTATTCTAAAAATCTTTAAAATTTAAAAATTTTATTAAATTACTTTAAATAATTTGCAAGAAAAAGATATTTATATCCACACTAATTTATATCCATTTCATATTTTTTCATTATTTTAAATTAGGTATAAAATGTAATCAATTCTCTTTTTACAATTGGTAAATGTCAAGTTCATAAAATAAACAAATTTAATAACTATATTTAATTAATAAATAATTCCATAATGAAACTTTCATGAAATATATAAAGTTATTAATATTATATTAAATGTACTTAAAAAATGAATTTTTGTTTAAAATATTTATAAAGAAATTTGATAAGCATAATTTTATATTCTATATTAAAACAGAACTTAAAAATTTAAAATAAAAAATATTTTTTAAACGTGAATAAAACAAATTAATAAGCAGTGTCGTTTATTGTAAATTATAAAATAAAACTGACATTAAGCATAAAAAAACAATTAATTAAACAAAATATAAATATATGCATACTTACTGTTAATTTAGTTTATTTAACTGTGAGGACCGCTTCGTATTTTGCGTCAAAAATAGTTCGGTATAAAGTGAAGTTAATAGAAATTAATAGAAAAAGCAAACAAGGAAGAAAGAAAAAGAAATAGTGGATGAACTTAATAAAATTTTTTTTGTAAATTTACTTCTAATTTACTATGAATTCAAAAGAAATATTTGCATTCATGCAAAGAGCAATTAGGAACATGCAATAATAATAATTGCAATAAATTAATGTTATCATTTACTCATTGTTATCAAACTTTATAATTTTTTTTTCTATAATACTGAATAAAATTATTAATGTAATAACTATCTATTTAAATAAATTAAAATATTCAATATCAGGGAAGTATTCCAAATTTGAAAGGAAAATTGCATTCCATTTTCCAATAAAATTTCACTATACAGTAATTCACTACTAAATTATTAAAACTGTAGCAACTGTTTTGTTTACCAGTATTAGTTCAGAACATCAGAAAGAATCATAAATTTTATTTTAGTAACAGGAGATAAATTTGAATAAATGCTTAGACTGAAGAAATTCATATAAAGAGGAGGTAGATATGCAGTTTCTCCTGAATCATTTCATAAGTCTCCCTAATTAATAATAATAAAATTTAAAAATTAAATGGAGTAATATTTTGTTATATAATAATAAATATTTATAATAGATATATATTTGTATAATGTATATATATTTCAGTTTCTATTCTTTCAATATCAATGCAAAAAGAAAAAAAGTTAAATTAAGAAATTAATTATCCATTTATAAGAGTAAAACTATTACTACTACTTATTTAAACTTTATTTAAATTTAAACTAATCAAAGTTATTAAATTAAAATTGCTAGATAACTAAATAAAACATTTCAAGTTATTTTAAGGATTTCAAAAAATTGTACATATAAAAATAAATTATACATTTCAAACCTGATAATTTTGTGTGCTGATTCAACCCTTTAAATTTTTACCTAATAACAATGATACTGATGATAATAAAATATTTATACTGTATTTTGCTTAAAGTTTTTGTTCCAGAGACTCAAACTGTTATAGATTTATTAACTCACATATACATAAACAAGTGTGGGGGTATTAGACCTCAAATAAAGTAAACAATGTATGATTTTGAAATTTTAGCACATGCAGAGAAGACATCACAGGATTTTTCAGAATCATCAATTACATGCAGAATAATTGTGTGTGAAAAATAAGTGGAAAATCACCACCTTATGCATACAGCCATACCAAATGAAAATGCATATCATTGCAGGTTAATCTATCATCATATAAAATTTTTTTGTGAATTTGTAATAGGCAACAATTAAACTGAAATATAGAAAATATTTTTCTTGTACTGAATCTAATTTTGATTAATGTAATAACAAACTTTCTATAGAAAAATATGCTTGTAACTCTACAAACCTGATTGACAAGATGGCAATTTAACCATCTATCTCTAGACATATTTACTTCATATCTCATTGTTAACTTAACCTTATTATAGTCCAATAATTTGGCAGATCACCTGTGCATATGCTTTCTTAATTATAGGTTTGCTGTATTCTTAGGCATTTTAACTAAATAATCATATATTTATATAACATAAACATTGTATATGCCCTTGTACTCGAATCTCTATCTATGACTGTTTCTTTATGAACACATACATATTATATAGCACTGAAGAGGGGTTGAGAGTTCATATTAACCCAGAACGGATATGTAGAAGAAAGAATTGAATAAATTGTATGTTTTTAACCTTCAGATATTTTACTTGCTGAACGGAATACTATACCTATAAATATAGCATTATNTTTAAACTCATAGATTATAACAAAATGTAGAAAACATTGCAAGGCAAAACATTACCAGGGTTGAGCCACCAAAAGTAGTTAGGGCAGAACTCTTACAAGGATACTGCAACATTTTGCAATTTTAAATCTGGTCAAGACCAAGATCATTCAAAATTCTGGCAATCACAAGGCTGGAAGAATTTTTCTGGATATATATATTTACAGTAAACTTAGAGAATTCCAAAGCTTTTCCCAAATTTTTATTTTTACTAAATGCTGCTATATAAAGCCACAACAACTGATATATGAAATGAAGAGAGAGAAAGCTATCCTGTTGAGTCCAATCTGAAGTCAGAAACCACTTACTTCAAATGTTACTAACTTTAAAAAATTCAAACATGTAAACATGCTACTGTTGAAAAATAGATATAATACTTATGTGTCATGGCAAAAAAGTTTATATATATATCCAATTTAGGAAAAGTTACTTTGAATTTTTAGTGTAATGTGATAGTTTCATATTTATTTTCATATCTTTATTGTAAATACTTCAAATTAAAATTAAAAATGCAAATACAAATATATTTGCAATTGATATTCATATTTACAAAAGCAAAATTTCCTATTTAAACAGTCATTCAAATGAAAAATTTTAATCAACTTAAGTACAACAATATCTGTTTTAACATAGAAATTATATAAATGATAGTGAGTGTTTAATGGATCATTAGTAATGCTGATAGATATAAAAAACTTTTTCCAATAAAAAATTTCTTGCATTGATAAAGAAAAATAAATTATAGATACATATACAAAATTATATTATAAATATTCAATATGTTGTATGTTATCTAATAGCTAAAATATCTATAATAAATTATTGCTTTAATTGTAAGAAAGATTATTCAAAATGTGCCACTTATATTTTGTTTGACTTAAATTTACATAATACAGTGTATAAGTGAAATTAATTTCAATATATTCCAAACTCTGTTCTACTTATACAAAATAAGTTGCACAACCTCTTTGTTATCCTGATATATAAATTACTGTACTTGTTGGTAGCGTAGACGACACTAAATGCTTAGAACATTGACGATTACATAAATCTAGACATTTTTTGGTAATCAATTATCAAATAACTTTTTAGTGGCAATTATTAATTTTTTTTAGGAACTTTTGTCAAACCTATAATTATTACAATAATTTATGGCTGGATTAATCTACTAATTTATTTTTCTACCAGATTTCTAACATGGATATATAGAATATATTCATTTTAGATGCAAAAAAGCTATCTACTCTTAAGGCAAGATGAGCAAAATATTCAGCACTTTCAATTGACATTGCAAGGCAATTGTTTTTTTTTTTTCTTTTAGAAAACTTCTTCTTCTAATTGGAGTCTTTGAAGAACTATTGGTGAGACTGATCTTGGTGATGCCTGAGAAGAACGGGAATGTGCTTGAAAATAATTCTGTTCTTTGTCAAGTGGAGTAGCCTAGGATAATTAAACATTTTTTAATTTATATATTATATATTTTCTATATTTATATAAATGTTAATAAATTATGTTAATTGGAACTTTTCAGCTAAAAGAGATATATTAATAAACATTCAATCTACAGAAAATACATTTATTTAAGTTGCAATTACATTATAATTAAGACATTTTATTTTCAATTACTGTTAATGCATGACATAAATTATTATTATACATTAACCTCAAAATCATATTCTTAAACCCCTTCTATAATAATTATGCACTTGAACACCCAAATATTTCTGAATACATACAAAATCTGAAGATTTATCATCAGTTTTTAAAGGCAGAGAGACTGAATATATTTATCTTTAAATATATTATTTGGAGGAAATAAGATATAATACAGTAAAGAATGTCAAATTTTTCTCTTGATTATGGAGCTTAACAGTATTTAAGTGATTCCAGATGTCTAAGATGGTGAAGATGCTGCTCTGGAAACCTGATTTTTGAGTCTAGCTTAAAATTTGACTTGGATATGTTTGGACACCGTCCTTTATCACCCACAACACCATTGCAAATCTTACTGAACATGCAATAAGCATGGAAACAAAAAACACATTTGAATTTGGAAAGAAAGTTTTTCACTGTATTATAAATTATTTCCTTTAAAGGTTTAAAGATTTAAAATTAAATGATATACAAAATAAACATTTTGGTATATTAAATCTTTCTTATAACAATTTCTAAATAATTAATTTTTGTCAATCTGACTATTAAATAATTTATATAAAAATATTTTAAAATTAATAATGTTTTCAACAGAGTAGTTTGTTCATGTCGATGCAATCTACAATGGATCCAGTACAAAGAAATTTCTGTAATCTTACTTACTGTTTTGAAAAATAATGTTACATATATCTGAAATTTGAATTTTAAAATCAAACAACCTATGGAAGACAATAACTTTTTATTTTCTTAATTTTGACATTATATACATATGGATAAAGCAAAATGAATAATGAAATTGAAATCAAAAGAAGCAGAATAGAAATATTTATGGTAGTTAAAATATTATTATTATTTACTTAGGATTGTATGATAAAAAGAAAAATANTTGAGATGAATGAAAAAATATATTAATATTATAATCATTTTAACAGATTTTCCAGTTAAGAAAAATTTATTCATCCAAAAGTGTCTTTCTGAAATTCACATCTTTATTATCATAGTGCTTTAGATCTCCTACAATCAACCTTCAGAATATTAAGTCAAAAATAAAATAACATGCTTTCAAGAATATCCATCAAAAACACAAAAAGGGCATGTGAGAAATGTAGAATTGTGTAGTGTTAGATGTGTGGGTTTTAACCCACACATTTAACACTACACAAAAGCTGTCTTTTCAATAATAATTTCTGAAAGTCTGAAAAATATAATTTTTAATAAATGTCTGATTTATTATTTTGATTGTTAATATTCCTGGAGATATGTTTTAGAAATCCAAAATAGCTAAAATAATAAAAGTGTAAACTCAAGGAAAGCAGTTATAGGTAAATAAGTTGATTTGGAAGCTGTTTGTAAGTTAAATGAAAAAAATTTAGGCGTTTTGGTAAATTAGAAATATAAAATTTGATTATTTTACATTATTTTTTTTTATTCATAATGTATAATCCCTTTTATATATTTTACAGAGAAGATAAACTTTTAATATATCACAATTTTTATGAAAAACTCTGCAAAACTTTGTAATTCCATATTTTATATGGATATAATCAAAATGATGTCTGACTGATAAAATAAAACTGAACAAACATGTGTCTTTTGAAAACTCAAATACTTATTTGAATCAATACAAAAAACAAAAAATATATAAATGCTATTATTATTATTATTATTTTGTTTGTGGANTTAGAAAATCTTATGTCCTATCAACATTGCTTCTAATTTTAGAAATAGCCAGAAATCACAGGGAGCTAAGTCAAGTGAACAGGCAAAATTATCTAATTGGGTAGTCACTTTTTTGGCCAGAAAGTCTTTTGCTGTGAATGCACTGTAAATTGGTGTATTGTCAATGTTGCCAAAGTGCAATACAGAACTTTATTACCTTCCCAAAAGCTAACCGACAACTGATTCTATCAGCTTGCAATTTACAAATGTATAGTTCATAGTCTATCACAATAAAACTACATATATTAATAACAATATCGACTTACAGTGATCACAGCTACACCAGCATACTGAGAACAATATTTACGTTTATGATCAAAATGCATACTAAGTTTTCTTGAAACAGTTGAATGCATGTCATAATCTGGAGCCATTGCATCCTCCTACAAAATACAAAATTGTTAATAATATGAAATCTAAATTATTAGAGAGGTTGAGGTGCACGTTTTAAACGTGTAAACGTGTACGTGTGACGTTCGGCGCCGCTTTCCCGTAAGCCTAAAAGTGTGACGATGGTGTTTGGAATGTCGAGCGTGATTCCACCGACTATCCAAACACCATTGTCAAACTTTTAGGCTTACGGGAAAGCGGCGCCGAACGTCACACGTACACGTTTACACGTTTAAAACGTGCGCCTCAACCTCTCTATTTTCTGCATAGAATTAATTTAAAATGTAATGTTAAAAATGCAATTGTATATAATGATGATTTGATACTATTTTACATGTAATATTATATATCTTATATTAAATTTTAAGCACCAATTGATAATTATTAAGGCTATGACATATATGCACTAAAAATTATAAAGTTAGTTTTTTATAACTATCTATATATGATTTTTAGTGCCTAGATATCCTAGTCTTAATTGTAAATATTTTCTTTCTTTCATAATTAATTGTAATTATAAAGTTTTCAAAAAATAAATTGTGCAATAAATATTTAATTTTTTACTAAAATATATGAATTAAAAAAATGTAGTGTTCAATAATTTATCTATGAATGCAATGCTAATTTTTATAAGACAGAGATAAATGATAAACTTGTAAACACAACCATTATGGAGCAGTGGAGTGTAGTAAAAATTATAATTAAAATAATATAATAACCATCAAAAATAACAAATTCCAAACTGGAATAATGTACTGAAATGCATTTACTATACAGTAATCTTTATATTATACAAACAATAAATAAAATTAAACATGATTATGTTACATTAATATTCTAATAATGGATCAATATCATGAATTCTGTTAAATTAATTTCTACAGAAAAAAAAGTTATTATATCAATCACTTATAAGTTAACTGTTAAGAAAATCAAATCAAAAGCCACAATTTTAAATCAGATAGCCATGATAGCTAACTATAGAAAATATTTTTGACTTTTTAACGGGTGTTGTCATGGAGCAGAGTCCACTGTCCACTCTGGTACAACTGTGGCCAAAGTCGCTGGACGCATTTCAGCAGCCGTTTCAAAACTCCCTCGTAATTCTGTGTTGATGGTTGTATCGTCGGGTAAAAATTCATGATGGATCAAGCCTTTACTGTTGAAAAAGGCAATCAACATAGTCTTAATCCTGGATTTGGTGAGACAACATTTTTTGGGAGGGGGATGACCATGAACACTATTCCATGGACTGTTGCTTGGTCTCTGGATCGTACTGGTAGCACCACGACTCATCCCCTGTAATGATTATTTCCAAGAACTGCGGATTCCAGTCACACGCACTAATGAAATCTCCAGAGGTTTCCATCTGATGTTGCTTTTCCTCGTCTGACAGCGTGTGCGGTACAAACTGGACACAAATCTTACGCTTTTGCAAATGTTCGTGAACAATGGTGCTCATACTGTCCTTGCTTATCTTCAAATCTTCTGCTATCATTCTCAAAGACAGGCGCCAATCATCCGCAAGCATCCAAAGATAAAAAGTAACTTGACAAAGCACATTACACTAATGAGATCCTTCTCAAAAGCTACACTCAGAACTCCTACGTCTAGAAGTATTTCCATTTCTTTGCAGTCATCTCTCCTACCCATGTCCCATATAACTCCTGACAACCCTGCTGATAACTCTAATGATGACACTGATGATCTGAAATCATTACCAGCCTTTGAAAAATTCAATGAGTAATATATTAATCTGAATAACTTTTTTTAAATAAATGAACTTTAATTTTTTTGGTACAATGTTTTTAATAATTTCTGCTGATTGTATTTTTATGTTCTGTAATATGTAAGAGATAAAAATTAAAACAAATTTATCAAGTTGGAGTTTCCTTTAGACCACTTCTTTTCCAAGACTAAATAAAACAATTAAACTCCTTGTTTATTGACCAATTCATTTAATGGCCTAGTCACAGGAACAGAACTTGGTCATTAAGCAAGGAATGCCTGTATTAGAAAATCTTATGTCCTATCAACATTGCTTCTAATTTTAGAAATAGCCAGAAATCACAGGGAGCTAAGTCAAGTGAACAAGCAAAATTATCTAATTGGGTAGTCACTTTTTTGGCCAGAAAGTCTTTTGCTGTGAATGCACTGTAAATTGGTGTATTGTCAATGTTGCCAAAGTGCAATACAGAACTTTATTACCTTCCCAAAAGCTAACCGACAACTGATTCTATCAGCTTGCAATTTACAAATGTATAGTTCAAACATGTTCAAACACAAATGCTCATATGATTTTGATACAATTACATCACATGTGTAAGGTTGCTGACTTCAAGGGGAGTACACTTTATCCTGTGTCAGAATGAGCCTAAGGGAAACTGCATATGTGGGCGGTGGCAAAGGAGGCAAATGAAGAACAAGTGTTTTACAAGAGAAAACCCATTTATTTGTTCGAATTCATGCTTACATCGATATTGGACAATTCCAAAATCCCAGTGTTCCTATGAAACAATGAGAGTTCGGGTGATCGGTTGTAGCCAAGGTAGACAAGAGGGATCGCTGGACGTTGCAGATGTTCAGTGTTAAACTGTGGCATCCTAGGTGATTGGCAGTAGCACAACACAATAGATAAAGCACAACTGTAGGCTTAATCCAGAGGAGACTCTTCTTCGACCTTGAAATTCCAATTTTTATAGTTTTCCCCCACTAGTCGCATTTCGGATTAATCCCTCGCTTCCCGATTGGTCCCTCCTTTGCCTCCAGGTGCAAGACGAAACCTTTCGGGTCGCAGGAAAGGTCCAATTTGAGGTGTCCATCTAATACCTCTTTGTTGACTCTGCTCAATGACTGTTTATAAAACAATAACACCTGCACTCATAACTCAGGCCGTTGTTTACCATTTCTTGACGTCTAAGAATTTAACGATCATTTTCATCTTTCATCTATCAAAAATTCTCCTTTTTTTGTTCAAAAAGATTTATCTCGGCCAACATTTTATAGACTTGCGAGTCAATGATCTACCAATTTATGAGCACTTGTGTTAGAGTTTGTCTTCCGCTAAGACCTTGACAGATAGTTTGACACATACTCAAACATTTCCGAGTCTCCTTGTTTACATCTTGTGTTGTGCAAGAATTTCACGGTTTACTCGAGTTTAAACCTTGTCTGGGAATCCACACATGCAACACTATGCAGCCATTCCAGAAGTTAAAGTGTCACATCTTGTATTTTTAATTTTTATATGTTCAAGAATTTCCATTGTTTTATAGTTATTGTTGAATAAGATTTAATTTTTCCTATGTCAAATTATGAAAATCTAGAACATGAGCTAGGTTTAGAGTGGTTTAAATAAATTATTTTAAGAAATGTTTTAAAAATTATATGATCTTAATATTTTATAAATAAATAAATGAATATAAAATATAGTAACATACTGCAACCCAAGGATGTTCTAAGACTTGTGTTGCACTATATCTTCTATCAGGATGAAGCTGTAACATTTGTGTAATTAATTCCTATAAAAGATATTAACAAAAAACTTTTTAAAAAGAAGTTTAAAATTACACCTGCTTAAAATCATTATTGTAATAATATGTAAACACAGTAAAAATAAAATATTAAATTATTCTTAAAAAATAAAATTAAGAAACTTTTATCAGACCATGTATTTTTTTTTTGAATATGTTATAAATATAAATTTTAACTTTGATGAAACAAACATTTAACTTTAATAAATACTACATAAAAATACAAAAAAGTATTTATGAATTTAGAAAAGTATAGAAAAGGAAGTTTAGGACAAAATTTAAAAATATTTATAAATGACATATATTTAATGAATAATATATTCAATCTTTCAGATCCATTATTAGTTCATTTGAATCAAAGAACAGTTATAAATCCTTAGATGAATTCATCACAGTAAGTCGCTTTGTTTTTATTTTAAAATGAAGTTTCTAACATAGTATTCAAAATTAATATTACAATTGATTAGTTTTTCTTTCTTTAATTCTTAAAAAAATGTGTATAATACAGTGCTTCTACTAAAACTTCCCCACAATATCTGGTTTGAAGCTACAAAACTGGACAAACAATAAAGAAAATTTGCTTCTGGAGGTTTTGAAACAGTGAAAACTGAATGTTATAGTTCCTATCAATATACATAGACTCTGTTTACCCATCATATTCTGTTTTACATAATTCTAAACTGTTTAATAAGTAGTTCTAAGTTCAGGATGTCAGATTTTGACTGAAAGCATTGCTTTTAATAGGAATGTTGACTTCCTAATTTATTTATTTATAAAAACTGTTGAAAAAGATAAATATATCTAAAATATTTTTAAAATATTAATATAAATAAAAAATTATATAAACAAGTATAATAGTATTTTTCCAAAAATATCAACAAATATTATCATTAATTTTTCTGATTTTCATCTTATCACCTTCCTTTTAAAAATAGTTAAATGGCTTCATTACTCAAAAATACAAACAAAATTATATTTTGTTTGAATAACTTTTCATGAAAATTTTAAATTTAAGCAATAATAAATGTTTAAAAACTTCCAGAAACTTTGTATTTTTACTTTATGTTGATCAGTTTTATAAATCAAAAAATGCTGATTGTATTACAGTAGAACCTCGATTATCCGCCCTAATTGGGGACTGGGATGGGGTTAGTCGGATAATTGAAAAGTCGGATNCCCTCATTTTAACAGACTCCAATTTAGCAGACAAAAATTTCTATCCTAAAAAAACGTTTTTTTTTTAATTAGTAAATAGAGCAAGTTAAAATTTTGGGTTGCTTAGCCAGTAAGTATAAATTATGCAATATACATTATAATAATATTTTGTTTGTACTCATACATTATAACAACTAGTGATGGGACGATTAGTCACAATCAGAATTCAGAAAAATCAAACATTTTCCAGGTATCGGAATCGGAATTGAGAAAATTTCATCACAATTTCTGATTCTTAAAAACAATTCTTCCACATTTTAAAAGAAAAATTAATTATCTGTTTCACTCAAAGATGAAAAATTTTTTAAATTATGATACAGTAATACCCCGACTTACGCGAATCCGGAGTTACGCGATTTTCAAATCTCGTTGATTCGTCTTTTGTTTGAGCGCCACGCAACTCTTAATTACTCATTTCCCCCCACACTATTGTTTGGCTTACATGTTCGGACGTATTCGACATATAGCTACAATTTATTTTGTGTTATTTGTATGTATTTATATGCAAAATTATACCCCGACTTACGCGAATTTGACTTACGCGGTTATCGCTCGGTCCCACCTATCGCGTAAGTTCGGGGTATTACTGTATTTTAACAATTAATTATTAGTTTATTGGAAACTTTTATGTCAACAAAGCAAAGAATACGTGATGTAATGTCTGTTATGGCAGACTCTAACCATGGTTACTAGATAATCTACAAAACATGCTCTAACTTCCCATTTTAGGGAAGAATAGGGTGAGTTTAAGGGTGTCATCTGGCTGGCTTAACTGGCAATCTCTATTCTGTATCTGTATATACAGGGTGTAAAAAATTTGAGGGGTTGTAGAGAGGTTAATTTCGAATTGAAAACTCTAGGGACATTTTTTGATTTGAAGCATTCATTTTGAGTTATAAGTGATTTTAAAAAGATGGTCTAAGAACATTTTTGAATATGCATATTTTGGGTGTATATGTCTGCTTCAGGTTGGTGATAAGTTCCACAATTAACCAAAATTTGCATATTCAAAAATTTTCTTAAAACATTACAAATATGGAATGTTTTAAACATTTAAAAGTTTAATGTTTAAAATTGCAGATAATATGTAACCAATATCAAACTAACATGCAATTATTGACAAATATTTTCATACATCTATTGGCATTTTGCTAAACAGGAAGTGATGTCACATTTTTAAAATTGCTTATAACTCGAAATGAATACTTCAAATCAAAAAATGGCCCTAGTTTTCAACTCAAAATTAACTTCTACAACCCCTCAAATTTTTTACACATCTTTCTGTTACACTCTGTATATTAAAAGCAAAATGTTAAAAGCAGTTTGTTTGAAGTGTCACTTAAACAATATAAATTTAAAAATTAATTTGATTTATTTTAATTTTAATTATTTTTTTAATAATTTTTATTTATTGAATTTTGCCTGCAGTTTTGGGATCCTTAATTCCAATTTTTTAAAATTAATTGCAACTCTTTTATTGTGACATGACTATAGAAATTGCTTTAGTGTTGTTTTGCATAAAAGATAATCAAATGTTAGTTTATTTTAATTTTTTAGTAATTTCATTAATTTTTGTTTCATAAATTTGCCTGCTTTTTAAAAATTTTAATTATAAGTGAGTTAACATTGATTGAACTATTGGGCTACCGAGTTTTAAATCAAGACTGGTGGTCAGCAAAAATATTTAAGTGTTGGCAGAACAGTTTAAAATGTAAACAAAATTATATTTTAATTGAAACAATATTGTATAAAATAGTTTTTAATATGTTTAGTATGTTTACTTTTAATGATAAAATGACATTATAATTATGAAAGTTATTGATGTTGATTCACAGATATGCTGTAATACATTAAATTTTTAAATGAGATTTGCACGATTCTGAATAAAAATACTTGTTTGCACTGTTTAATTCCATTTTGAGTTTTAAAAATTGACTTTTTTCAAAATGAGTTGGTCTAGATATTTGTGGCTTGAGTGAATGAATTCAAAAATTGGTTAACTCGTGACAATATTTGTTTGGCTCATTTGCCAAACCTCATTTAGTATTAAATACGATGGAGTTAAATCATTTACAAGACATGCCCATTGCAAAAAGTGTGGAAAAAAAATGCATCTTCTCATTTATCTTCCCTCTCCCCATGGTCATTGCATTGGCTAACAAAGCAGTTTCCAAATATGGTAATCCAACATGACAAAATGGAATAGTTCTTCAAGTAAAAGTGAATTAATTAGTTGTAATTTCTTTGAGAGTAGTGTTGCAATAGTAACTTTATCCACCATAATATTACAAATTAATTTTGTAGTATACNCACATATAAATGGAGATTTCTCACATTTCTTTCAAAAGATTGATTTTGGATTTCCCAAATCATTTTCCATTCTTCAGCTTGATGTTTATTAATTAATGAATGTACCATGCTTGTAATATAAATCATTAATTTTTCTAAACTAAAATAAACATTAGAAAGTACTGTATTAATTAAAAAGAATCAGAATAGGGAGAAATTGTGGTATCGTCCCATCACTAATAACAACATTTTAACATATCCTATATATTTAAGTTTGTCATTAATACTTCTTTTTAGAATACATTTGATTTAATGAACTTTCTGCAATAGCAGATATCCCTTTCCCACTATTAATCATTGAATCAAGGGCCTACAGTATTTCTTTTTAATGTTCATAAGTGAAATTAACAAAATTGCATTTCAGAAAAACATTTTACCTAAAAAATGGAGGAAAGCCACATAGTAAAATGTAAGTTATGACACCAGCAGCCCAAACGTCTACTTTAAGTCCATAACTGAAATAGTAAATATTTGTTTTAAAAAAAGTAAATAGACATTTTAATTACATTATTCATATATAAACAATTTAAATAAATGTTATATACAAATAGTCAAATAATTCTTAACAATTTTAAAATATCTCTAAATAATATTTGATTAAAATCACCATCTGAACATACAGTTTTTAGCTTTAATTCAAATACACTTAAATATAATATTTTGTTTCAAATATCCTGTGATTTAACTATTTTAAAATGATGTTAAATTTTAATTAAGAAATTATTCAAAATAATCTTATCTGAAAATCTTAAATTCATTTAGATATTACATGTATAACATACTTGTCTGTAAATCTTCTCAACTCAGTGGATTTAAGTGTAAAAATCTTTTTTGATCTTACTATATGTAGGATAGGAATAAAATATCTTAATATATACTATGTTATATTCTTACTGAAGAAAATCTACCAATGTAAAGCAGATAAAAATAAAATTTCCAGATGACATAGGCAATATAATAAACAACATTGTGAATAAAGATCTAAGAGACACTAGTCTATTGTCATTCACTAATAAGCTTAATGTGGGACTGTGCTAAGCTCATTACATCTGAGAATGACATAAATAATCCAAAACAGTTGGAAATCCTAGATATTTACAAAGTAAATACACACCTAGAATGTATTAACTATTGTAATGTAGACTCATTGTCCATCTCATAGAAATCATTATACAAAATATAATTTTTTTATATTAATATTATATTTTAATGTTAACATCCAAATTTATGGTTATTTTGCCCATTTTCTCTTGCTTTTGTATTTTAAATATCATTGTTCTTTTCTCAATTGTTTTAAACTTTAAATTTTATATAATCTATTTCCTTACTGCATTTGACAACTGAAGTAGATCCATTAAACTGAATCAAATTACTTATTGGCATGCCAAAGGTGTGATTTTGTTTCTAACATATAAGCAACTATTAATATGCATGTACTGTATCTTAAATTTTTCTTAGAATTTATTGTAGTCTGAATATATCAATTTTTTATTATTCATAGGAGACAGCAATTATAAACACAAAAGACTTGTATTTACAAAAACATTTTTAAGTGATATATTATTCAGAAAACTCCATACACCATTATTAATAATATTCAATTTATTTTTCTTCTCTTATAATGATTTTGTATTATTAGTTTCCATTGCAGAATGGAAAATTGCTCAACCAATTTTGTATTATTTTTACAAATAAAATTTTTCATGACTTATTGTGTATTTTGTCTTTTTTTCCTTCAAGCAAATCAAAACAACATTAATCTATAGATATAATATCTGAAAACATGATAGATAAGACAAAAGATATGTTGTAAATGCTTATATTTGCCTCCTTTCTAAATAAAAATAGTTCTTGGTTTTAATATTTAACATTAGAATTTATACATTTTCAAAATATTCATATCATACAAAGCAGACATTTCAGTGACAAATGTGCCAAATATTTTGAGGCTTATCAACTTACCTTCAAAAAAGCAATTATTCTCCATATTTCTAGATTAAGACATTAATATAATTGAGAAAAATAATTCTTTTAAAGAAAGTTAGATAAGAACAAAATTTAGAAAATACTAAAAAATCTGCAAATCTTCATCAGAAATGAAAGAAAACATTTGATTTAAAAAATATACTATCTTTTGATCTATTATAATAGAAATTTAAACCAGAAAAAGACATCTCAGAGAAAAGAATACCAATAATATTTGATAAAAAAAAAATTAAGTTTAAGTTTATTGGATTAGTTTAAACGAAATTGATGCAGAGATTCTTTAATGCATATTTGAGTCAATTTGTTTATTATTATTATTTTGTTGTCAAAAAGCCATTTTTTACTTGCCCAAATTTTCTTCTATAATGTTTTATCCATAGATTGTATTAGTGTACTATAATCTGAAAAACTGAATGTTCTTCCATAACATCATGGAAGAACAATAAATATTGCTTACTTCACACTTAAAATAATATTTAATCTAATCTCTATTTAAAAGTAATTATAAGATAATATTTACCATTCATCATAAATAAATACCATAATAAGAATACAATGATTATCAAATATACAATTGAAAATTTTTTATAATTACATGAAACCTAAATTTTTATTTGTAATACTGATAAAAAAGAAAAAGTAAGAAATTTCTTTTTCAAAATGTTAATAAGCTATATTTACTTGATAGCCAGATGTTTGAAGTGGTTAAGGCATCAGCCTACCACCTTGGGGAATCCCAGGATTTAATCCAGGTCACCAACCCCAGGAATTTTCATGAGTGGTTTGTCCCAAATATGTTGGATCCTGTCCCTCACAACCAGGCCTCCTCCCATTGTGGGCTTGGATAAGCCCATGATAGGTATGAAATAAAGGCCCTTTTAGTGAGAACAGGGAAGAAAACGTCAAAAATGAAAAAAGTTAATAAACTATATTTACCCAGTTTCAGCTAAAATTTCAGGTGCAACATAAGTAGGGGTTCCGCAGACAGTATAAAGAGGTTCTGTTGCTTCAACAGCCAGTCCAAAATCACCTAATTTTAAAGATTTACTCCCATCTTCATGTTCCATAACCTATTAGAACAGCATTTATTATATTAACATTTAAAATTAGAAAAATTATCATCATTATAAACATTAAATAAATTTTAAGTCTTAAGTAACCAATATCAGTCTCAATAATTTCTTTTATTTTCATAAATCAATAAAGGGGAAAAGAAGAAAATAATAATATAGTAACTTATATTAGTCCATGTAATGTATGGTTTGTGTGAAAAAAATGGAACCACAACCATCAAAAAATGCTAAAAATTTTAATGAGTGCTGTTGATTTTTTCAGATCAAACATTTTTTAAGATATTCATGTAAACATCAGATCCATAGAAAAAAGTCCAGCAACAAATTGTTTAACTTTCCCAGCAACATTTAAAATTTTTGTGGTGTTATCTGTTACAATATTGCATTATAAAACTGTTTACATTTTTTAATTATTATCAAATGGCAAAAGACTTAATTTTGAAGGTAGGGATAGGCTTTATATAAAAACTGTAAATGCTAATAATGAGTAAAATCATCATTAAGTCTGACCCTACTCAAGATATGACACATAATCACCCCTTTATCTCCCATCTTATCAATCTTTAACCACTAAAATTTAATAGCAACAATCCCCTAACACACAAACCTCCCTGCAAAATTTCAGAAATTTTTGACAAGATTTTATTAAAGATATTATAGAAGGAGTTATTAAAGCTTCAAAGAGGACGAACAAAATCATGCCCCTCAAAATACACTCATCCATACATACAGAAAAACCCCAATCAAGGTTCAGCGTCCAAAAATGTAAATATCTTTGGGGGTCATTTTTTGACTGATTGCCATACTATATCTCTGTTATATATAACACAACTGGGAAAGTAAAAAATAAACATACAAAAATATAACATGTTTGAAATTAAAACAAATGTTTTGTTTAAAAAACATTTTAACTTAGAACCATGACTAAAGTTATTGACATAAATTCACTAACACAAAATGTTTTAGAAAATTCAATGTTAATTTAATATGACCAGTTTTATTTACTTTTTATTTAGAATTTCATAGTTTTAAAAAATATTTCTATTTAATTTTATAATCTGTAACTATGAACTTTGAGAAGAACTGAAGGAAATAATAGGCCACAAAAACACCTTTATAACTCCAGCAACAAATTTAATAAAAATAAAAACATTTTCAATCAATTTCACTTCACTTTAGTTTCACTGATCTTCCTCAGTTACAGAATATAAAGGAATGAAAAAATAAAAGAACATAAATACAAATTTAATAAAATAAGAATTTGAATTTACAATCGTTATCTTAAAATAATAAAATGTATGAATAAATGAATAAATAACAACTAATATACACAAAATTAATAAAAATAAAAAGAAGTGAATAAATGTCTGTTAATAAAACAACAAAATAAATAAATTTTGTAAATGAACTGCCATGCGGACAATCTGTGTAACGCAGTTATACAGATTGTTTGCATCTCTATGGTTGATGCGCTTGGATTTTTTATGAGCCTCATAAATTTCCAATTTATAATCTGTTATTAATATTTAGTACAGTAATACTGCAACTTACGCTACCCCGACTTATGCGAACCCGGAGTTACGCGATTTTCAAATCTCGTCGATTCGTCTTTTGTTTGAACGCTATACAACTTTTGATTACTCACTCCCCCCACACTATTGTTTGGCTTACACATTCGGACGTGTCGCGCGGAATCGACACATAGCTACAATTTACTTTGTGTTATTTATTTCTGTTTGTTACATCTACGGAGACTCGAGAGACTCTATGTGATGATTTCTTGTAACCGTGAACGAATCAAAAGACGTGATAACATTAACGAGAACATTTATTAGCTTACATACATCCGACTTGGATTTTATACAAATTGCGAAATTATACACTGACTTACGCGGTTATCACTCAGTCCCACCTATCACGTAAGTTCGGGGTATTACTGTATTCCATACTTTTTCAAAATGTATAAAATATAATTTTGTTATTTTTTTAATAATCTGAATAAAATCTACAAGATTTCTTAAATTGTTTAGCATTTTTTGATAGTTATGATTTCTGACTTAATCCAGCTCTAGTATTTGAGAGTATCTATCCGGCTAAACTCATCTAATTATACAGATATTACATAATTTGAACTAAACATAGGAATTATGCTGTTATCCATGTTAAATTTAATAATTAAAAAAATTAACTTTGAATATTCTGGGAAAAAAAACTTGATTTGGAGTGTTACACAAATCTGAAACTTCTGCTTATAGTGCAGATGCATCCCAATTATGCTATCTGAACCTCTGTTTGATCTTTGCTTCCAAAGGAATTAATTTACAAGATATAACTAAGTAAGTCACTTGCACTGACTGGGGATGGCTAAAGAAATTTCTCTAAAAAGCATTTAGAAACGAGTTTAAAAGAAAATTTATTCTTAATGCTTTATGTTTTAACCAAATTTAAAATAGTCCTTTTCACTTTGAAAATTTTGTCTAACTCTTAATAGGCCTGAAATATATTTTGCATCATCATCATCATCAATGAAAAATAGTGTTAAAATTTTTATTGCTGTTTTAGCAACTGAAATATAACAAGATATTAGACACTTTGCACAATAAAGCTAACTTACTTTAATACAGCTGGATAAGCAAGCCAATGAACATAGCCTGTTTCAAATGAAATGAGTTATGTCAATAGTTTGCTTATCCAGCCGTATTAAACCCACATTACCAGGCAATGTGCCTGTTGTGAGAAATGTGCAGTGAAGTTTGGCAAATTTGGATTATTATTTATTAATCAGTTTAATAAATTTCATATATCTTTATTTATTTCTTATTATACATAGTAGAGTTTTATTAAAATAATTTTGTATTTAAATACTTATATATATTCTATATTGTGAAAAGGATATCACTGTTAAAACTAAAATTTAATATGAAATACCAATACAAAAATATTTTATAATTAATCTAATTTCATTGATGAAATTACAAATATTTTATTAAAATATTAATTACCATTAATTTTAAGAATTATGATAAACAATAATTCTTAAAAGTTTTATTTATAATGAAAATAAAATAGCATTATAAAATCTAAATTATATTCTAAAAAAAAAAAAAAAAACTGACTGATTTACAAACCAGTAAATTTTCTGGCTTAATATCACGGTGAACAATGTTAAGCGAATGTAAATATCTTAACGCACTTCCCAAATTATATACCATGCCACTTGCATCTCTTTCTGTATATTTTGTTGCTGTTGCTATTGCATCAAAAAGATCTCCTCCCTTTAAGAATATATGTAATAAAGCATAACTTATACAAATTTTATAAATTTAGAAAAAAATTATATAAATGGTAAATTAAATATAAAGTATACAAATAAATTATATAAGCTACAAAAATTATTTTTTCTCCATTTAGAATTATAAAATATCTATATGTAAATTTTAAAATTATTATAATTACTTTCATATTTATTCAAATACTCTCTTATAATCACATCAATTAAAATAAAAAAAATTTACAACAATCTTTTTTTGATAATGATGAATAAATAAAACAAAATTTGATTTAAAAATTAGTTTTACTTCTAACTCAAAAAAATTAAGTAAAAATAAAGCTAATTTACTAAAAATAACTTACAAATATAATTATGTACACATTTGATTTTTATCTGACAAAAGAAAAAAATATTGTTCTATCAATATTAAGTTATTCTCTAATAATTTTAAACAAAAATATAAATATAATGAGTCATTCATTTCTTGAGTCCATTTCAATTATTGGAATAATTTTCTGGCCTTGGTCAATAGATGAAGCAGGTTGACTGAGATTATGTGTGTTGTCCATTGTGCATGAGTGAGGTGGTGAATGTGTTTGTGAAGCAGTAGTCATACTTGGACCAGTGCTGTGTTCACTACTGGTGGCCAAAGGAAACTGGCAGATTTTTCGAACATCAGCTTCTGCCTAACTTATAAACACAGATCTTGTTAACCCAGGTGACATCTGAGCTGATTTAATGAGCTGTGAACATGTGACAAGCATTTTGTTTTCTCCACAGAAATGAGTATGCATATATACCTAAAGCTAGGTGTTTATAACTCGGATGCCTGCCATGGAAAACGAATATTGTTAAGCAACTGTCCACTCTGGGTTAAACTGCTCAGAGACCAATTAAAAACCAATTTTTTAAGTGCATTAATTATTTTAATAATTAATAAATTGTGATATCACACCTAAAAATCATGCTAGAATCAATATTTTTTTTTTATGACAAACACATCAGTCTTTACGATGGTTAAATTTAATGTATAATACATATTTAAATGTTAAATATGCGAGAAAAAATGTTATTTAATAAAAATAAAAAACCCTGATTCATTTCCATCATTTCTAAACATAGAGGCATCCATTTTCGTTCAAACAAAACAAACTGCAACTCCCTAGCTGCTTGGGGTCAAAAGTTATTAGTTAATTATATTAAATTTAAAAAATAAATAAAATTTTTCTATTAAAACATGATTTAATTAAAACATTAACAGTTCAAAAAAATTTAGCATATAAAGTCTCATATTTTGGAATATTTTAAATACTTATTGTATTAACTTACCTTTACTAATTCCATTACTAGATATAATTCATTACCAAAATCAAATTCACCTAGAAGTTGAACAATGTTTGGATGTTTAACTCTTCTCAGAATAGCCACCTCACTTGTTATCATATGTTCCTACATAAAAAAATCATATTAGTTAATCTGATAGTTTAGTAAAAATATTCCAAAATAAAATAATTTACAAATTATATTAATGAAAAAAATCATCTAAAATATCACAAAAATTTATTCATCTCTCTTATTATTTATTTTCTATTAGGTATTAACTAAATATGTCTGAACACAAATATTACATTGGATGATTAAAAATTATTTAATTTATTTTGCTCTTATGGCATTGTCTGTCATTTTTATTTTGTAAGAAACTAAGATGCTAGCAGCATTAAGTAGTAAATTCAAAATTTTGAAACAAATATATAAAAAATTAATTTTTACTATCTAAATGACAAATTCATTATCAATAAATGACTTTAATGATTCTTAGAAATCTATAGAATATAACTTCATAACTTTTGCAAAAGTAAATATGCTAATTTTAACCACATTTAGTAATTTAAAATTAATTTTTAACTTATATTTTGACTTAAACTAGTATATTTATCAATTTGTACATTAATGTACTATAATAAGCTAATGTACAGTACTATAAAAAGCATTCCAAGTTTTCTGTATACAATATTTATGGTTATAAATGAGCTTTAATCAAATAACTAATGATATAAATAAAAATCACTATTTTATAAACAAAACAAAAATAACATATTTTAAGTAAAATTTTAATAAAAATCTGAAAGTTAGGGCAGTTCTTCAAAATTAAATAATAAAACAGTATTATGCTTAAATTGTATCCATACAGAACAGCTCAATTAAGGCAACCAACCTTATGTTTATTAAAGAAACATTGTCATCTTCACATAATTTATAAAGAACAGAGTTGTACAGAACTTTAATTTATTATTTAAAGTTCTGTACAACTCTGTTCTTTATATATTACGTGAAGATGAAGATGACTGTAATGGAGCTGTTCTATGTTAATATAATTCATNATTATAATTGCTAAATTTAATAATTATAATAAAATTAATATTTATAAATAATTTTGAATGTTATGGAATATGGAAGAAAAGAATTAAATCATTAATTTAATTATAATTATTAAATTTAATAACAGATGACACCTAATGCCTGCCTCTAGTGACAAATTATTTAGAAATTAATAATAAATGTGGAGAAGCAGCCTGATTTAATCTGGTAGTTGTTTAGCATAAGAATGTAATTTACCTTGTATAAAGATTCCTCTTCACCAGGTACTGGTACAATATATATAAAAATAGATTCACAATAAACCTTTGAGTAACCAGTAAAATATTTATTTGTTTGAAAAAACAAACGTTTTCGACCGTATTCTTTGGCTTTCTTCAGGTTAAACGTTCCAAGATTCTAAAAGCCGTTGTGCTTAAAGATTTAAAAGTTTTGGAACATACACAACTCATTATGCGCATACGTATCAAGCATTGGATAAACAAAATATATTTATTATTTTACATATGCATGAAATGGTGGAAAACACATTAAATAGAGTTGTGGGGGCCTTCTCCTTCAAAAACAAACTTCCAAGCTGTAGAAATATTAATCGCATCCTTATAATTGATGCAGTTATTGCATAACCCCACTTTATATATTTCCAGAGTTTCTAGCGTTCGTATGTGTTCCCTTCTGTGTGAAAGTTTAATGACTCGCGCGTTATGTAAGTTGGCACTTATGTCCGGGGTGGAAGCATAAGTAGATAGGGCAGTGGTGCATCTGTTATGTTCTAATAAATATTTTACTGGTAACTCAAAGGTTTATTGTGAATCTATTTTTATGAATGTAATTTAATAATGATGCAAAGTTTTATTCATTTTAAGATAATATGCTTATTATATACTTATTGAGTAAAGGTTTTCTTTAATCTTAAATCAAGATTGAGATACACAAGAATGTAATTTTCTATCACATAATATAATTTTATAATTTTAAATTAAAAAAAATCATAAATTAGTAAAATATTAAATATAAATTAAATTACCTTTCCTTTACATTTTGCTTTATCTATAATTTTTAAAGCATATTCTAACTTCGTACCTCTAAAAATATAGAAAGTAACTGTTAAATTGAAAATTTCTGTTTTAAGATCAAAATTTACTTTCTAAAAATTAAATTTATTTATTTTACTTATTTCTGACTACAGTGTAAAGTCCAATTGGACTAGAGATTACCAACCCTCATACATAAGATAAACCCCATGATAAAAAAAAACCATTAACATAATAACAATAAAAAACCAACAAAAAAAAAAGTAAACATGAACTAAATATACATATAAAATTGAGTATAAAACAGGACTAAAGCAATACAAAATATCTAAAATAAACTAAAAATGCTGTACATAATAAAACTATAAAAATTAATAATAAAAGACAGGTTAGGTAAAATTGGACGCAGGTTTTAAAATGCTGAAAATTGCGGTAAAATAGACATGTGACAGGATAAATATTACAAGCTTCTCCAAAATAGAATGATCTTGAGATATTACCTCTATAATTGGGATTGGAGAGGCTTATGTCATTTCTAGTTATACATGTAGGAATTCTTAAACCTAAAAAGGAAACCTCCAGTTCTGCCAATGGCTGATTTTCATAAAATTTTGCACTCATGTATAACATGACTAAATAAACATAAATGTAAAATCAAATTTTATAGTGTCAAACAGAGAAGCAAGAAACACAGATGGTTCTCCCGTAATGTTAATAATACTCATTATATTTCAGGCAAGAAAATGTGAACCCTGGAAGTATGGCATCCTTACTTGTAAAGAGTTTCAGAACAGTCCAAAACCAACTGTGTTGTTGAAGAAACAGTAGCAAAGGAGTAAAGGAGTAAAAGAGGATAAAAAAGCAAGTGGATCTTCACAATCATATCATCCAAATCCAGAAAGAAAAGGTAAAGACAAGAAAGATCTCTTTCTGAGTGGAAGAAGGCTGTTGAATACTGGACAAATCCAGAAAGAAAAAAACATGTTTTAATCTGTGAAGTCTCAATTTTGCTGGATACAAAACAATGAAAGAGAATTGTACAGGCTAGTTGCTAACATACTGCAATGCCTCTCAATACTGTAATAAATACAATGAATACCTTCAATAATTATTTACATTTTTTTAGGAAGGAAAAGGAAATCAAAGAGAAGGGTAATGCACAGGAGAGCCAGAGAGTCATAAATGAGTTTGTGTTGGACAAGTTCAAACCAGCAAAGATAAATTTTTTCATAGTGAACAACAATGACTTGAGAGAAAAGGCTGTAAACAAACAAGAACACCTTCAAACACTTCAAGGCTTTTGACTCTTAGATTCTCTACTTCAAGGAAAAGTATGGGATTGTTTCTCAAAACCTCCTTAAATGGACACTATGAAGTAAACACCAATGTAGGGCAGTAAATCAGACACCAGAAAAAATGTGTTTTGTCCATTATGGAGCTATTGCCACTCTACTTTGCAGATTGTTTTTAATATCTCTTGATGAAACTTACTTTAATTAATTCATGACATCAGGAAAAACATTGTCAATATAGTAATTTAGCACTAAATACTGAAAATAAACAACTACAATATTTTTTTATATTAATCATCTAAACAATATTAATTTCTCCTAGATATACAGTAGCAACCATGAAAACTGTATTATCCATAAAATCCGATAAAAAATGTGCTTATTTTTTTTTAAAATTAAAGTATCATTTTGCTTCAGAGTTGCAAGAAACCATAAAGACTGCATCATCCGTGACTTCTTAAACATGAATGATTTCCATTACCTAGCAAAGTCTATTGCAGCAATGTTTCCAGTGATTGTATAATCCATTTATAGTGATTGTAACCCATTTAATGATAGTATGCTTTTATAAGCAAAATGTAAAGTTTTTACAGTTAACACAGTGCAAAAGTCTGTAGTTTGTGCTTTAAATGATGAAATTTTATTCTGTAGATATAGTGGGGAGAGTGCATTGTTATCAATCGAGCATTTGTAACAAGAGAGACATTTGTGAAAATGCTGTGCCTCTTAAGATTCTGAGTAGCTAATCCAGCAAGAATATACTGCTAATTCTTCTGAAATGAAAGTAAAGTGAAAAAAACAAACAGATTTAACAGTGAGTGAATGAATTGTAAATTTTAAATAAAATGGTCGACAGTATATTTTAAAAAATTAAAAATTTGAAGAAACTAAGTCATCTTCTTTCCACCATATTATTTAAAACTGTGTATATATCTTTAAATTGGTTTATCATCAGTAAACATTTTTTAACTGTTTTATATAATTCTGCAGAGGCATAGCCTACAATAAAGAGTTGTCTTTGTGAAGAAAGACTGTTATTTTTTTCGGATGACTGGACAAGGTGGAAAGAAAATGACTTAGTTTCTTCAAATTTTTAATTTTTGAATGAATTGTGTTATAATGGATTTAACATGGATTTAAAAGCTTATCATCCATATAAGAAACAATTACTGACAAATAAAATGTGAGCTAAACAGCATATGGACTGCAGTGTCGACATGTAGAATTGTTATGCTTTCAAATATATTCAAACTTAACCGCACAGATTTGAAAGCAAATCTTAGGGTTTTTACAAAAGCTGACTTTTTAAAACACTGGTTTAGAAATCTCAATTTTTCTATGAAACCAGTTTTAATTTGAATTTTTACCCATAAAATGGAGATAAGATTACAGTTCATTTTAAAACTTTTGAATTTACTTAATATTTATAACATTTCAAAAATATAAAATTGACCAATGTCTACACAAAACAAAACAAAAACAAAAAAAAAAAAAGCAAGCTAGAATATCACATTAAACTGTAAAATTTACTCCATAGAAAACCATAAAGAAAAAGGAACAACAATGAATGTCTACAAAATATTATTATTTTTTCTTATTTTTCCTAAGAAAATATGATTTTAGAAAGCAAAGAACGTCTATAGATCTATTGCTCAAACAGTGTCCTTATTTTGCGCATAAAATTGCCAGAAATAGAAAAAATTCTCTCACTTGCTACTGAGCTGGGTTTAATCGATCGTCTTTAAAGCATTAAATAATAAATCTAAATTTTTCGTTCTTCTGTTTGTAACCTCTAATACTAAAAACTCCTCCTTTAGTGTCTTAGGGCTGGACAAAGTTACTTTTTCAAGTTCTTGAAGATATTTATGTAATTGATCTTGTGTGACCCAATTTTGGGGGCTGTAACTCATGAAGTGTGACTTGTAGAGGTGTGGTTCCTTTGACTTTGCTCCTATGGATATGCTCTACAGCTCTGATAAAGTTCCAACTGTCTCATTCAGAGCTTGAATTGAGCCGAATTGGACACTTTTTAGGCATAGAAGGATTTTTTTGTTTTGTAGTAGTTTTATGACTTAGTATTTAGAAATTTAGTATTTAACAATATTCGCATTTTATGCCAGAGATGATTTTGTGTCAAAATGTTGATTTTTTTAATCAAATAATTAATTTTTATGTTTTAAGTGCAGGCTCAAACCCAATTTTTTACTTGGGAAAACCCAGTTTTCAAATTATACAAATTTCTTCAAAAAACTGGTTTTTCAAAACCAACAAACCTTAGCAAATCTTATGTTAAGTGTAGAAAAGGCAAGGTGTGTAACAGGGATTGCTTGATGCAGACAGTAAAGTTTCAAAAGTGTCAAATATGGTGTGGAAATACATATCCAGTAAATGCATTGGCTGACTAGATTTATAAATGGATCTGTGAATGCAGTGCTACAAAAACATTTACCCGCCAATCTAATTCCAAAAATCAGAAACAATTTTGTGACATCCTGCACTTTCCAGGACAACTTTCCATTGTGTCACTGTGCTAAGATAGTGAGTAAAGTATTATATGTCCTGTCCCTGTAGTTTGTCAGCATTATTGTCACTTAAACTAGTACACAAATTGTCATTTAGGTAAAAAAAATTCCTACAAGAGACTTAGATCAAATGCCTAAGCTGGGCAGCTAATAGTTCTAATCTTAATGCTATTGAGAATTGCTGGCATATTAAGGGCATAAAAATTGAAGACAAAAGGTCTGAAAAATAAACAGAAACTGTAGGATTGTATCAGAAGAGTTTAGTATTGTAGATTTGGCATATGCTTGCAGAGTAGCTGAATTTACCTACTCTATGTCAGAGCACTGCAAAGCTATTATCAAGATGGCTCTATGAAATATTAGGATCCCATTTAAAAAGAAATAACTGTTTGTGTTATGTTTTTCTTGCACTATAAAAATTTGTTTTACCTCCATAATTGTGAACATTAAGTTCTTACGATAGTTGTCATTAATGGCATTGTGATGTGAAATAACAGATGTTCAACATAGAATTGCATATAATAAATAGCATTTTTTAAGTTTAGTTTGCTCTTGGTTTCATCTTAATACTATGTACATTTTCATTGCAAATTATAATCGTGCTACTTTGCACACTTGTTGAATGCTGTTTGGTATATATTGTAGGTGATGCAATTTCCATGGCTGCTACTATATTATAATAAATTGTTATTAAACAGTATATTATAAAGTAAATTTATATTTTATTAAAATACTACATTATATTAACAAAAAATGAAACTAAATCTATATTAGAAATAATATTTACAATAAATATATTAAAAAATAATAATAATTTGGAATATTTAAGATAATAGAAATAAAATCATTTTTAATCTAATGTTTAAAGACATTAATATAAATACATTCTTAAATATAAATTTTAAGCAAATAAATTTTTTGAGATATATTTCTTGATATATTACTAATGTTTTTATATTTTGATTGAGAAAAACTTTAAATTGAAATTATTACAATGGAGCAGTTGTTAATTTTTTATAACATCAGATTGAATATTGAAAAAGTTTTACTATTTATATTCATATTTTATCTAATTATTTAAAAAAGTAAATTTTATTTTAGTACAGTAATACCTCGACTTACGCGATTTTCAAATCTCGTCGATTCGTCTTTTGTTTGAGCACCACGCAACTCTTGGTTACTCACTCCCCCCACACTATTGTTCAGCTTACATGTCGCGTGGAATCGACACATAGCTACAATTTATTTTGTGTTATTTATTTCTGTGTTTGTTATATCTACGGAGACTTGAGAGACTCTATGTGGTGATTTCTTATAACTGTGAACTAATCAAAAGACAAGATAAGATTAACAAGAACATTTATTAACTTACATACATCCAACTTGGATTTTACACAAATTGCGAAATTATACCCCAACTTACGGGAATTCGACTTACGCGCTTATTGCTCGGTTCCACCTATTACGTAAGTTTGGGGTATTACTGTAATTGAAATAGCAAGAAAAGTAATTATTCCTATTAAGAAAAGTAATAATCTTATATTTATTCCTATTTTAAATTACATTACAAGCAATCAAATTATTGTTTCTATAAAATGGACTAAAGAAAATAATTTATTAATTTGTTAAACTATTTTATATCTATTATAATTATTTTAAACTATGTTAACTATTTTAAGTAAATAAAAAAAAATCAACTGAGATTAAAAATAAGAATTAATAGTTTTTTAAATTATAAATTAAACTTTTTAAAGTTAAAATTCAGCAATTTGTCAAAATGAAAATAAGGCAAAATGCCATAAAAACCACTTTGAGAAATTATCTATAAATTTGAAAATTTTTTAATGTTGCATCTTAAGTAAATATTATCTCTAGTGTTTGTAAAAAGATTTAATTATAAAATCAGTTGAAAGTATAATATAATCTGATTGTAGAGGAAAAACATTTTCCCCCATTATTTATTCAATATAATTAGTAACATTCTGAATGAAAAGTGAATATTTAATTTTTTATTATACAATATTTAAAAGTACTTTTTACAAATTAAAAAAAAAATTATTATTATTATTCTTTTTATGTAAAAATAACAGAATATTAAATTTTTCATAAAATATTTTACATTTTTCAGTGTCAGATCATTAAATGCTAAATATGTATTTTTTAATGATATTAATTTTAATAAGAAAAATTCTAATTTGTGAAATCCGCGATTTTTACGCCGATGTCGGAAAAATCTTTGTAAACAACTCCGAGGAAAAAAAACACTCTTGGTGAGAAGTATATCGGAGGTCACTGATTGTTTTCACATTAAGGTGGGAAAGTTGACACTTAGTTGATCGGAATGCACCGTGTCAACAGAAGTTGATCATGTGACTCATTTCCCACAAATAACGTATAAAAGCTTGAGTCCCCGGAAGCTTCGGATGATCCCTCGAAAGTTATACTTGATAGATGTGCCATATTTGTCTCCATACTCTGGACCGAAAGGACATACGACCAACCACAGCCATTTGAACTTCCATCACCATTAACGAACATATTCAACGAACGCATATTAGACATATCCGCATAGAGGTATTTGTACTTTTTAGAGCTTTGTGAACTCTCTCTCAGACTAGCAGGTAAAGCTATTAGAGCATCCCTTTTGTATANTTAATGTTGCATCTTAAGTAAATATTATCTCTAGTGTTTGTAAAAAGATTTAATTATAAAATCAGTTGAAAGTATAATATAATCTGATTGTAGAGGAAAAACATTTTCCCCCATTATTTATTTAATATAATTAGTAACATTCTGAATGAAAAGTGAATATTTAATTTTTTATTATACAATATTTAAAAGTACTTTTTACAAATTAAAAAAAAAATTATTATTATTATTCTTTTTATGTAAAAATAACAGAATATTAAATTTTTCATAAAATATTTTACATTTTTCAGTGTCAGATCATTAAATGCTAAATATGTATTTTTTAATGATATTAATTTTAATAAGAAAAATTCTAATTTGTGAAATCCGCGATTTTTACGCCGATGTCGGAAAAATCTTTGTAAACAACTCCGAGGAAAAAAAACACTCTTGGTGAGAAGTATATCGGAGGTCACTGATTGTTTTCACATTAAGGTGGGAAAGTTGACACTTAGTTGATCGGAATGCACCGTGTCAACAGAAGTTGATCATGTGACTCATTTCCCACAAATAACGTATAAAAGCTTGAGTCCCCGGAAGCTTCGGATGATCCCTCGAAAGTTATACTTGATAGATGTGCCATATTTGTCTCCATACTCTGGACCGAAAGGACATACGACCAACCACAGCCATTTGAACTTCCATCACCATTAACGAACATATTCAACGAACGCATATTAGACATATCCGCATAGAGGTATTTGTACTTTTTAGAGCTTTGTGAACTCTCTCTCAGACTAGCAGGTAAAGCTATTAGAGCATACCTTTTGTATAGTGAACTCATTTAATCACATTTAACCTAGGTATCCTAGTTTAGTTATATAAATAAATGCTTGTTTAGTTTTTTACCCTGTCTCTGAAGGACACCTGCCGACTTACTGATGCACTCCCCACTCAATTTTTTTTTTTGCCCTCCTAGCCATCCGACAAGCCGAGAACGGGTTTTACCAACCTGTTGCAGAGTAAGTGGTCATTTGGGATGAGCCCAGTGGCCCACTGCTAATCTCACATATATATATAAATACACATACATACATGAGGATTGTTCAAAAAGTTCCCTNCCTTTTGTATAGTGAACTCATTTAATCGCATTTAACCTATGTATCCTAGCTTAGTTATATAAATAAATGCTTGTTTAGTTTTTAAACCTGTCTCCTGTCTCTGAAGGACACCTGCCGACTTACCCTGTCTCTGAAGGACACCTGCCGACTTACTGATGCACTCCCCACTCAATTTTTTTTTGCCCTCCTAGCCATCCGACAAGCCGAGAACGGGTTTTACCAACCTGTTGCAGAGTAAGTGGTCATTTGGAATGAGCCCAGTGGCCCACTGCTAATCTCACAAATTTATAGCAAATAACAAATAATAAAGAATCTAATGCAATTTTAATAAAATAACTAGTGATCTGAATACATTCAAAAAATCATGTTAGAAAATGAAAATTTAAATTAAATTAAGATAGACTTAAGTTATCATACTTTTAGTTAACATGTATTAATATTAATTTGATTCATTAATTAATTAAAGACAATTTTGGTATTACAAGTCATAGTTTTGGTATAATACAATTGAGGGGCTCAGTGGAAAAGCAACATATCCTGATTCAGATAAAGATGTGATTTTTGGTGAACAAAAACACATTCCACTGCTATCTGTGGAATGATTCTGAAAGTATTAGTGAGTTAAAATATGTTAATTTAATGTTATTAATGAGTTTGTCTTCATCAAATTTTCCTTTTTGCAACACTTTTCTCCAACCAAACCAAAAGTAAAAGACTAGCATATACCAACCAAAACCAATATGGTGACACTCAGCGAATGCAGATGGAGTAGTGCAAGATAAAAATATAAGTGTAAAGCCTTTAATTAAAATGAAACAAAAGAATGTGTGGTAAATAAACATAAGATAGCCAGGAAGAGGGAGAGGTATATTTGAGTACATCAGTAAGGTTATCTATAAAAATAAAGTTGTGCAACTTCAGTATCACAGAGGTTGACAAGCAACTCCTGATTTAATCCTTACAGAGAAGTACCTGAATGGACAAACTATTAAGTTGTCAAAATACAAAAGCTTAATGAAGCTTTTGCCTTCTCTTCCTCCTATTTATCACAATTTTTGCAGAAATGTTCACACTGTTTATGACTCAAATGAAGCAAATAATGAAGTTTAAACAATGGATGAACATGTTCATTATGAGCAATGTTGATTTAAAGGACTATTAGTTAAATTGTTTGCTTAATAATAAATTGACATTTAGGTAAATACATGCATTCCAAGTGGTTATTTCAAAATAACTTTAATTTGAATTTTCTGAAAAATTAAGTTAATTAAGTAGGGATATATCCTACTTTTCCACCGAGCCTCTCAATTCTGAAAATCACTACACTAAGTGCTGTATGAAAAGTTCACTTAACAATATTAGTGTAAAGGAAGATAGCTATAGTATTGACTAGGGTTTCTGAAACGGGATTCCGTGATCCCGGTTGTTTTTTTAACCCGGGAAATATCCCGGGAAATTTTTCTTATCCCGGGAAATCCCGCAAATTTCTTAAAAATTCACTTTTTTTCTTATTTTGTGTTAAGGTTGAGGAGTTTTGCAAATAGAAAGCATAATTAACTCATTCACTGCCAGAATACATTTGTATTTATTAATTTTAAACCTACCTATTAGTTTTTTTAAATTTTTGCTCGTTATAGCATGTCACAAATGGTCAATAATCAATATATAGCTTATTTGTGGCAGGACTATAAAAATTCTTTACTTGTCGGAACCTGTAATATCTGGAATAATTGTGCTTACGCTGTCTTGAGTTTTAACCATGCCCAGTAGCTTCAATAAATGCCTGACGCCAGATTGTGCAAATTGGGCAAGGATACAAACGAGTACAAAGTCTGCAAGTATGAAGTTTTTCTTCATAAACCTGATTATTAAAGCCAAATGAATTGCCGAATTATCGAGCTCTAAGCTTGATGCCGCTATTAAAGCAGCCAAGGTAGACAAATCAAGAATACTAGAGAGCGAAAGAAGTACTACAATCTCGAAAACGAACTCGAAATCTTCCAGGCTACAGGTGAAAAAACACATAATATCTGTCTTCTCTTAAATGCATTAAACACTATTCCAATCACATCAATTGAATCGGAAAGGGCATTCTCGGTGGCAAGACTTTTCATTACTAAAATAAGAATTAGAGTGAGTTATCGGAGTATTGACCATCTTTGCTTTTTAAAATCTTATAAAAGTTTGCAATATTTTGTATTATATTTTATTTAAAAAACGAAAATTACCTTCTAAATTAGAAGTTCATTTTTTTAATTTTTAACTCAATTCAAAACATTTTTTTTGTTGTTGTTGTATGCAGTTTCCAGCAAACTTTAATTAATTTTTTTCTATTTGTGAAAATTTCTACGTTATTTAAAGGTAATTTTTATTATAGGCCTATAGACCTTACACAGCATTATTAATATGATTTTGGAGGTTACAGAACTTTAAAATTACTTTAAAAAATGGAAAATAATTATATCATTTGATTTCAAGATATTTTGTATACCTTAAAAATAATTAATTCTATCCCGGGATTTCCCGGGATCACGGGAAACAGTTCACTTTTATCCCGGGATCCCGGGACAAGCAAAATACCGGGAAATGAGAAACCCTAGTATTGACTAAGAACTATTTGTATACTGAATTATATTAATTTACATGATAAACTAACAATTTTGAAACTAATTGATGTAAATACTTACACTTGGATATAAACGTCTGGAAGGCTTTGGTGAGGCTGCTTGAGAACTATGAGTACTACTTCCTGAAAAAATACAAATCAAAATTTAAAACATTTATTATTGTAATGAATTCATTTTATATAAATTAAATTTATTGACTAAAAAATGTGGACATATTTTCAATTAATATTGGTACATCTTCAAACACAATGATGTATTATGGTTTTTCATTGTTTAATTTTTATGTTGTATAAAATAATTTTGTAGAAAATTAAAGTAATTGTAACTCATTGTGTTAATTTTGAAATATGATGAAATAATGATATCTGAAAGATAATATTAAATAATTAATATATAAAAATTCTGTAATAAATTTTTACATTAGAATACCACTATTCATGATTCAGCTGAAGGATAAAAATGTGAAAAGATGTTTACTTAAATTTTATTTAAAACAAAATGGATAATTAATTTAAAATATGTTAAAAATTTTACGTAACTAAAATCATTAAAACTGTCAAATAAGATCTGCATATCAGTATGTGTAGAAAGAGTAACATTTTTCTGATTGAATCTTTTCCAAAGATAACAATTTAACAATTATGCTTAATATGAAAATTAAAATTTATCCCCAAAACAGATCATAATTGAAACACTTTCAAAGTTCACAAAGTAAACAATATATACAGTAAAGCTTTCTACTTTATGAATAAAGGTAAAACTTTAATATTTTTAGTCAAATATAATTACAATTTTTTTTTAATGTTTTTAAAGTCAAAAATAATTCTTTAAGCTTAGATCTTCAAGAAAAAGTAAAACAGTGACAAAATAACAAAGTAAAACAACTGCAAACTAGTAGTTGAGAACTTTCTAAACAAACAAACAAAAATAAAAAATAAAATAAAGGTATCACAAGTTAATCTGTTTGATTAACTTATGATATTTTTATTGTAACTAATTTTTTTTAGTTAATATGAAAATTTAAAATGAGGTTTGGCTGTTCTTGATCATCCAAACCTGGACTTATAGCATTTAAAAAATAAGCCAAACTGTTTTCATTTATCAGTATGATAATTACCACAATAGCTTATTGAAAATGATGATAAAATGCAAACCATTCTTTCTTTTATGAACACTTTTACCATTGATACATATTGCAATAATGTACTGCACTAAGCTATAGCAAACATCATAAACACACTTTCATTTCAAATGATTTTTTCAACAACAGAGAATCATAGGCTGAAAATCAATCAAATGTTACGAACTAATTGCATGTTTGTATTTGATATAGTCAGCAAAACAATAAATGGTAGTGCAACTAATTTTGATATATAGTAATATAAGATCTTATTTCATGTTGGATTCAGGCATATTATCAAGATTTAAATGCAATGGCTTTGGTATTGAAATTTAAAATGTTACTGAAGTCTGTGATAATTTATAATCCAAACATAATAGACAAAACAGATTTGTAGCTGCTTTTATGAATATTAGTATTATAATTATCAAATTTCCATAATGTTGATATTCTCAATGCAATACATCATAATATTCATAGATTTATTTTGGGGTAAATATAAAGAGATGTCACAAAAATATAATTTATAACTATTTTCTTATGGTAATTAATCATAAGCTTCATATACAAAGGTTTCTCTGTTTAATAAAAAATTTTTAAATTTTCATTATAAAAATATATATAAATAAAAACTTATTAGAAAGACATCATTGATCTGATCATTGATTCATATAGATATTAACTGTTCTTTGGTTAGAAATAACTGTTCTTATAAATTATCTAATACTTCATTCCTGGGAGAATCATTTGTGATGAATGTTCTTAGATAACTAATATATAAAAAATGTTTTATGTACATAATGTTTGTTAAACTATATTAGAATTATTTTTTCATTTTTAAGCAAAAAACTTAAAATAATATAAATTTTAAATATTTTTAGATATTTAAAAAAAATAATAAAATAAATATTTAAAATTTTAAATGACACATTCAGTATTGCAATTNAAAAAAAAAAAAAAAATTAACAATGAAAGTTAAATTTAAATAAATAATATTAAATTTAAATAAGTAATATTTTGTATTAATGAAATATATACTTTTAACTTAAAATAATAGCAAATTTAGACTTTTCTAACAATTTAAGATAAAATAAATTTTAAAAACTTCTACCTGGTGAACGTTTGGAAGGTGTAGGCGATTGAACATTTCCTGTACTAGTTTTACTTTTCTTTGTGATATTTTTATTGCTACCTGTTAAGTATTTCCATTCTAAAAAATAAAAACATATTAAAATTACTTTTAAAATCATAAATTAATCAAATTAAAACATAATTAATTAGAATCTATAAAGAGCTTTATTATTACATATCTAAACCTTCATTACACAAGACAATAACAACAGTTTGTGTTTATGAAAAATAATATAAAGAGTCTACAGATTCAAACAGAATTTATAAAGTGCTAATGTCAAAACCAGTCTGCTGAATTATCAAGCTACTTCTAAATTAAAAATTAACTTCTTATAATTATTAAAATTTATACTAGATGGCAACATATCTGCCTATCTCTAATCAAATAAAAATTAGTAACTAATCATTATTGTAGCCAAAAAGTAACTAAATAACTTGACAGAATGTTTGGCATTAATTAATTAAATTGGGTCCTGCGTTGTTATTTTATAAATATCTTAAAATTTTAATAATGGTCTGAGATACTCAGCTTTACAAAAAATTTGTTTAGTTTAAAATATTAAAATAGAATATGTTTTATGAATTAAGCATTCAATAAGTCACAGAACTTTGTATGTAAGTATGAATAAATAAATTTTTCCAGTTTAACATCAGAAAGCAATATTTTTGGATTAATGATTAATTATTTTGGACATATTACATAAGACTGATCTCAAAAAAGTAAAACGAATGTACTATTTCATTTTAAAAATACTGCTTATTTTAATCACTGACATTGTGTTATCTTCCATATCAGAATTAGAAAGTTCCAAAATATTAGTTAAAACCTACTTATATAACTTTTTATTGTAATTATGAGTTTCAGTTATCATAATAATCATCATTAAATACAGTTAAACCTGTCTATCTTGAATCTATTTATCTCGAAATTTACAATACTGTTCAACCCTTTAGCGACACTGGAAGTATACTACACTTACACTTAAAACGAACCTATTACTGGCGTGCATCTTATAAAAATCGTCCCACAAACGTTTTCGAACTTTATGAAGTTCTTCTTCAGGTGGAAATGGAATATTTGCGAAAAAATCAAACAGATTTCAAATCAAAAAGTTCACTAAATTCCGCTCTGACAAACATGCGCCGTTGTGCGCATGTGTCAATTACTAAGGATACTTGTCCAGGAGAAGTTGCCCGGCTGGTGACAGGTTGAGCTTTTCTTTTTGATTGATGCATGTATTTTTATGGCTCATTTTATAAATAGCCATAGCTTCTAACTATTTTATTTGCTCAGGGTGGGGGGTGGTTACAATGATTTTAGCTTTGTCGAGCTCTGCCTCTATGTCCTGGTCTGTTGCATAAATACTTAGGGCTGTAGTGAGCCTTCCGTGTTGTAGATCAGCTTGGTGTTCTTTTAATCTGGTCTTTAATGAGCGCTTAGTAGAATCAATATAGACAAGATCTTTTTGCCATCTGTTATCCACTAGAGGGATAGAATATACGCCATACATTCTGTAGAGATCTGGGGGGGGTCTTTCCCGTTTTTTAGGATGTCTGCTATGGTGGGGCCTCTTCTATAGATTATTTGTACTTGTTGTTTCTTGGCTATTTCTCCATATATTCCTTTAAGATATGGGGTGAAGGTGACAGGGAGCCTTGTTTGTTCTTTCTGGTTGTTGGTATCCTTTGTCTGTGCTGTGGATGTGCCAATTTGATGATGTTGCCTGATTATACTTTGTATTAAGAAAGGATACCTATGCTCAGCTGCGACTTTTTTACGATAATCCAATTCTGTATTCAGAGCTTGCTTTGTAGAGGAGTGGGATATTGCTCTTCTCACCAAGGTTTTGAATGCAGATATTTTATATGAGAATGGGTCACACGATCCCCTAGGTATGTATATTGGCGTTGAAGTGGGCTTTTGGTAGATGGACGTTTGGACGGTCAAGGCTTCCACTTTGATGACTATGTCTAGGAAATGGGCTTCCGTGCTGCTTGATTGCTCTATATTTATAACAAGGCCATAGGTGTTGTTGTTGATAGCTTGTATAAAGATTGTTATGTCAGATGTCTTCTTCCATAAGACGATAAGCATAAGGTCAGGGAGAAACATAAAGATGATTTTATTTTCCATTTGCCTGATGACTAACTTGCAGAGGTCCCCTGACACTGGGCTACCCATGGGGACGCCTCTTTTTTGCTTATAGACCTTTCCTTCGAAACTAAAGATTGAGTTATAACAAATAAGATGGGCCATTTTGAGTATCTGGTGGTGCAGTGCTTGATCTTGAGTATAATCCAATAAGAAATCCCTGAGGGAGCAAAAGGTTGCTGGGAGCTTTACTGAGGGGTAAAGTGATTTGAAGTCGAGGACTGTGATGAGCTTTGGAAACCCTGGGAGATCTTTCAGCAGGCGTATGAGGTTTTCTGGGTTTTCAATGGTGTAAGGATAATCCTTTAGGTTTGGTGAAAGGAGGCGGTGGTGGCCGGAATTCTGCTCCGACACATACGCACAACGGCACATGTCCGTTGGAACAGAATTTGGCAAACTTTTTGATTTGAAATCTGTTCGATTTTTTCACAAATATTCCATTTCCACCTGAAGAAGAACTTCATAAAGTTCAAAAACGTTTGTGGGACGATTTTTATAAGATACACGCCAGTAATAGGTTTGTTTAAAGTCTCAAAATTTATTTTTTCTCCAGAATTTTTGGCCTAAATTCAATATATTTTCCATATTTATCTAAAATAATTTTCTCTCCAAACCTCGATATCTTGAATTATGGACTGAAGTGCCAATCACAAATTCAAAGCTCAGTTACTACATTTTGATAGCAAAAATTGTACTTGAGAAACATCTCTTACAGTACAGTACATAGTTGCAATTAAAACTGCTTTTCTCTGATTGGCTACAAGTTTGACTTGCACCTTATTGGTTATTATTCCAGGTGATGTGTTGTAACAGATTTTAATGAACTTTCCTTGACCAATGGTTTTTTGATATCATTTAAGTTTCTGATTGTTACATTAAGAGAAACAAATGGCTTGTGTGTAAAGAAAGTTAAATATCCTTTCAATTGAAAAATTAAAATCTTAAAAAATTTTTGGACAGAAATCCTCAGACGAGAGAGAATGAAGTTGTGACCAAGTTTGGTATTCTATTGAGTACTTTTTCAATGATAATAAAAAACACAGATTCAGTAGAGAGAAATTTCAAAAACAACAACAATAAAGTTAAAAAAAATTGAAAATGTTCTTTTCCAGAAATAGATGAATGTGTAAGAAAATAATTTGTACATCGTTATGACTAAGGAGTTCCTCTTAGTGAAATGATGTTACAAAGGAAAGTTGAGAATTTTGCCAAAAGACCTGGCCATAGCAAATTTAAAGCAAGCAATGGGTGGCTTGAAAGCTTTAAAAGTCAACACAACATAGTCTTCAGGAAAGCGCAACAAAAGTGCACCTGTGCTTCAAAGTGTTTGTGAAGAGTGGATCAAGGAGCTCACTTCTCTTTGTTCAAGGCTATAAGCTAGTGGATGTCTTCAACACAGATGAAACAGGCCTTTTTTTCCCACTGTTTACCCAATAGAACAGCTATATTCAAGACATAAGTGTACTGAGATGGGAAACAGAGTAAAGTATATGTGACTGTACTCTTTAGCAGTTAATCACATTAAAAGTGAAAAACTTCCACCACTGATGATTGGTTGTTTGCAAAGCCCAGATGTTTCTCAAAAGTGAAATTATTTCCTTTAACATACAAAGCTTGGATGACAAGTGAAATCTTCAGTGAGTGGCTGAAAGAAATTGACAAATCTGTGGGTTTGAAAAAAAAAAATTCTTGATAAAAAATTTTCCAGGACAGAAAATTTTTTTAAATTTACAAAATTTAAGAAAATTCTTAAAAAAAAAAATTTTTTTTAAATACAAAAATGTGTTTTCTTACTTGTCCTTTCATACAAACACGAGGAAAATAACAGCTACTATTTAAGGCTACTTGTCTGTCTCAATATATAAAAATCATTAAAAGATCCCTCTGGTAATGGCACAAGTGAGAAGATGCATTTTTGTATTTTCATTTTTAAGAATTTTCTTAAATTTTGTAAATTTAAGAAAAATTCTTCTTTTAATTGATAACTGCAATGCTCATCCCAACCTCCCTACTCTAAAAACACTAATATTTTTGCCTTCAAATACCACCTCTAAGCTGTAACCCCTCAATCAAGAGATCATTCGAAATTTCAAAGTGGGATACAGAAAAGAACTGGTTTGAAAACTTCTATAGGCCATCAATGATGGTAATCTCTTCACACTATCAATGTTTTGGATGCTATGAGGATGATAGACTATGCTTGGAGGAATGTTACAGAAAAGGCAATCAAGAACAGTTTTCTAAAAGCAATATTTAAGCAAAGGAACAAGAGGAACAACAACAAAACACCATTAACACAGTGAAAGACAATAACCAATGAAGTAAATTCAGAAGAATGGATAATTGTCAAGAACAGACTTAATTTAGACATTTTATTTGAAGTTTTTGGATGTAAACGATTCCCTGGTAACATGCAAAATGTTGACAGATACGGAGAATCATAGAAAATGCGAGAGAAGTTTCTAACAATGACGAACTAGATAATCAGATAGATTCACTTAAACTTATTACCACAAAAGAAGTAGAAAATGACTTTGAAATGTTCAGAATAATATCATGAAAGCCAGGAAGATATTAGTCATGATGCATTTGCAGCTATTGCTTATCTTCAAAAAATTGTCCAGTCAAAAGAAGTCAGACATCAGAAATTATTGATCAACTACTTTGGCTAATGAATGTCTAAAATGTTTTATTTTTATCTAATACAGATATGTACTGTACATGGTATTGTATTAATAAAATACTGTACCTTGAATCAGACCTATTACTGTTTACTGCATTTGCACCTCTATATCTTGAATTTTTTCTCGTTCCTGTGAGATTTGAGATAAATAGGTTGAACTTTATATGCATTCTTAAGCTGTCGATATTTGCTTTAACATTTGGCCAATAATATGCAATCATTATTAGTTGTGTGCATTAAAAATAGTAAGTGTTAATGGTTTAATTGTTATTCATTTACAGTACAATAGTTTAAATTGCATGCATTTTTTATTTCAAACTGTTGTTAAAGCAAAACAACATGAGGCAAATAACACTAGATGAATTATTTTAATTAATATTATTAGTACATCTTCAACTTTATTTAACTTCATTCAAAATTTTATATTATTACATCAAATCATTGAAACAGTATCTTATCTATAACAATATTTATAAGGCTATAGAATAAATATATTCAGTGAAGGGTGCTGTAGTTATTGTGGTGCTAAAGAGGAAGGAAATCTTCTGACTCATTTGTTTGAATCCTGTCAGGTGACATATCAACTAAAAAGTGCTATATTAGGAGACGAGTTCAGATGTGATTTTTTGAAGAACGAGGTCATGTCAAAAATCACCTTATTTAAGTTTTTTTCCTTTTTCTCTAAATCTTTGGAATTTCTCCGTTAATTTATTTTATGGATTGTATGTACATTTATTAACATGATTTAATCAAATAGTCCCCATTGTAAGAAATTTAAATTTAAATCAATAAACATTATTATTATTATTATTTTGAGTTTAGTGAGTTTTACTCGGTTCACACCGGTGGCTGTGTACTATGCCGGACCAGAGTCAAGGCATAGCAACCAAAACAAAACTAAAATTAAATGTGTGTGTCAGTGTCTGTATTAAGGAATTTCCTAACAATATGGCATGTATTCAATATAGCGGCCTTCTGTAGTGTGATGTATG